GCAGTTGTCAAGCAGACGGCAGCAATTACCAGATCGCCTTGACGTCAGCCAATTTACTGGTGACGTCCAGTGCCCGCGATGGTTCGACGTGATTTTTTTTTTATCATCGTCACGTGAGCGCGTGATTGATGATCACGTGATACAAGGATGGCAGGCACGGGCCAGGAGACGTCATGGGGGGGGGGGGGTGGGGGAGACGTAAACGGTTGTTCGATGGAGGTACCAATTGTGGTATTGTTGTAGGAACTAAGATGCTTTGGTTCGATGGAGGTACCATTTGTGGTATTGTTGTAGAAGCTAATGTTGCTTTGGTTCGACGGAGGTACCATTTGTGGTATTGTTGTAGGAACTAAGGTGCTTTTGTTTGATGGAGGTACCATTTGTGGTATTGTTGTAGGAACTAAGATGCTTTGGTTCGACGGAGGTACCATTTGTGGTATTGTTGTAGGAACTAAGATGCTTTGGTTCGACGGAGGTACCATTTGTGGTATTGTTGTAGGAACTAAGATGCTTTGGTTCGATGGAGGTACCATTTGTGGTATTTTTGTAGGAACTAAGATGCTTTGGTTCGACGGAGGTACCATTTGTGGTATTGTTGTAGGAACTAAGATGCTTTGGTTCGATGGAGGTACCATTTGTGGTATTGTTGTAGAAGCTAAGGGGCTTTATTTTTTGAAGATTGCGACCTATAGATAAAGTAATTCCCTGAACTCGAACTGTATTATTGCATTACTGCAAACCTTCCCTAACTTTCCCACCTACTATTACGATATCCAGGATTTCTTTTATTCGACAGGTATTCATTATAATGTGGGAGGGGGTGGGACGTTGTGGTCTAGTGACAGAGCGTTAGGTTTCTAACCCTAAGGTCTCGTGTTCGGATCTCGGTTCTGAACTGTTACTGTAGAAAGTCCCTGAGTAGACCTGAGGTCTAAAGATGAATCTTTATATGGGAGGGTGTTAGTTGCAATCGTAGTGCGGAAAGTTATACAATCGTAAATGATATAAAAAGGTGTTATCTTTATTTACCCGAATTCTATTTAGAAATCCGTATGACGAAACGAATGCCATCCTTCAACTTCCTAACGCAATTATTGAAAAAAATGACAATAATCATCAGTATATGAGAATGACATCTCGAATTTCGGTAAATGAAAAAAAAAATATCCTACAATTATTTCTTTGCCCTGAATGAACCCTATATTAAACACATCGAACCATTACTTTGAGAGGGTATAAAAAAATAACTCTACCCTTCTCCCACCAACCAATTACCGGTGTGTTCCTGTTCAAGAGGATCAGTACACAAATCTGTTCTAGAACTTTCCTCGACGCAAGACATCGTTGAGCAAGAAGATGGTCATTACCCGGAATAGGATCAGAGCCAGGATTAAAACGACCCAGGGGACCACAAATACGGGACCCCCGGGCACGGGTATAACACTTCAAACGATTTTATCAATTAATGAACCATTCTGGAGACCAAAAATACCCGGCGGGGGTTTTTCCCCACCCCCCCCCCCCCCTCCATCCCTTTAAATGGTGTCTGCTGTGTGAGCCAGTTGTGGGCTTCTCATGAAACCAGGGAAGGAAAAAAAACTGGTCGTTTTCGGTCAAACTGGTCAGTCGATCGATAAGGAACTAATGGCTATTGGTTAACTTAACCAGACACATACGATAAGGAACTAATGGCTATTGGTTAACTTAACCAGACACATACGATAAGGAACTAATGGCTATTGGTTAACTTAACCAGACACATACGATAAGGAAATAATGGCTATTAGTTAACTTAACCAGACACACAAACATGCTATACTGGACTAATGGTTATTGGTTAATTTAACCAGAACACAAACAAATGCCATACGTAACTAATGGCTACTACTTAATTTAACCAGAACACAAACATGCCATACGTAACAACTTTCTAGTTTCTTTTAATTAATCATTAATGTAAGTCCCGTTACCATAAACACCTTTCCTATTTTAACTCAGTTCTTGTTTTAGTTTCCATTGAATAAAAAAAATTGTTCACAAAGTCGGTGTTTAGAAGTCAAGTCAAGCTCCATCCACCCCCTCCCCCCAAAATTCGAACTTTAAATAGTCCAAATAAATTCCCCGAAATTCGGTGTTTTTAAATAGCCCCCGGCGCTCTCTGCCTACCACGTGACAATTCACCAATGGAAGTTCCCGATTGTGGGCTGACCAAAACCGGAGCAGACGGAATGGACCAATAGGTCAACAAAGCCACGTGCTAGGGAAGGCAAATGCCTGCTTTAGACGGGGGGGGGGGGGGGTTGCTCAAAGAGCGTCAGATCAAAATACAACAGTTGTCTATTAATCGACATACAACATTCGGCCATTCATGAAAACATTTGTGCATCTATTAACTTTTGTATGTGTCCTTTAATCAACGTACAATATATTGTGTATTTATGAAAACAACATTTGTCTATCAATATACAGCATTTGTCCATGCAACATGTGTCAATTCATCAACAACCAACCTTTGTCCATCTATCAACATACAACTTTTGTTGATTCATCATCATACAAGTTTTGTCCATTCAGCAACATACAAAATATTTCTATTTACCAACATACAATATTTGTCCATTCAACAAAATAAAGGCATTAGTCCATTCATTAACATATAAGATTTGTCCATTCATACATACATCATGTGTCCAATCATTAACATACACCATCTGTCCATTCACCAAAATCATATGTGAATCCATCAACATACAGTATGTGCCCATCTACCCACATCAGTGGCGTAGCCAGGATCGTCTCAAGGGGGGGGTTCCAATTTTTACCCGGGGACAAACTTTCGATTTGCACCCCCCCCCCCCTCAAACTTTCGATTTGCACCCCCCTCAAACTTTCGATTTACACCCCCCCTCAAACTTTCGATTTGCACCCCCCCCCCCTCAAACTTTCGATTTGCACCCCCCCTCATACTTTTTATATATACCGAGGGGTCTATGGGGGGGGGGGGGTTATGACCCCCCCTAACCCCCCCCCCCCTGCCTACGCCACTGACCCACATACAACATGAGTCCATGTATCAACATTAATTTTTTTTATCAGTTTTAGTACAAACTATCGCAGTAGCAAGACCTAATACCTATTAGAAAATGTATGAAACACTTCGTTTACAATAATGTACCTTGAGTACATCAAAACTGATCGTGTTCAAAAATGTACATGTTAAACCTTTTTTGTTTTTTGTAAAGCATATTTTCTAATCAAAGACTTGTATTAAAACCTTGTTTGCTCTGTTTATTCCACGAAGCTCTGGAAATAACTCCCAGAAAAACAACATGACATTTCAATGACATGTCATCCCGCCGAGTAATGATTGGCCCTACAGGTTTTAATTAAAAGCCTCAGACATGTCTTTAATTACCGATCACGTTCCTGTGTCATTATATCGTTAATAAGCTAAATTAGCCTGTAGTGTTGGAGAGCTATGCTGATTAGCTGGATCAGGCTATCTATCATAATCTCGTGTAGATTCGCTTGGACGAGAAAAAAAGTATAAATTGTGGATATTACTTAAATAATAAGGGGATTATTTTGTTTCGTGGTGTTGATAAATGTATTCTCTTTGCCACGGAACTTATTTACTTTTTAAAAAACGGAGGCGTTAAGTCTGGAGCAGAGTTTCTTCCAGGCATCTCTTCGGGGGATGGGGGGGGGGGGGGTGGAGGGGGGAGAGAAGTCTACCGCCCCCCCCCCCCCCCCCCGAACGAAATGGAATTTATATAGAAAATATATACTTTAAATAGTGCCCGCCTCCCGGAAATTTTAGTCCGCCCCCCCCCCCCTCCGTAAAATTCAAGTGCCCCCCCCCCCTCGGAGAAAAAAGTCTGAAAGAAACACTGGTCTGGAATGATCTAGGTGTCTACAAGCTGTTGACGTACATACGATTTTTACTGTAAAGAAGCGACTTTAGAATATTTTATAGTTGCGCCTCACCCGAAAAACAAAATTAATTTTTAAAAAAAGACGCTTTAAAAGTAGAAAAAAAATTTAAATAACTTTGGAATTTCCGCTGAAAAATCTAATCAAATCTTAGCACCTTACCAACAGTGTTTCTTCCAGATTTCTCCGGGGGGGGGGGGAGGCACTTGACATTTTCGGAGGAGGGGGCCGACAACATTTTCCGGGTAGAAGTATGTTTTCTATATAAATTCCATTTCTTTCGGGGGGCGGTAGCCTTTTTCGGGGAGGGCTCACCCCCCCCCCCCCAGAAGAGATACCTGGAAGGAAATCTGCTTACCAAAATTAAATCGTGGCGGCTACCTTGACAAAAATAATAACATTTAAAAAAAAAATTAAAATCATGGCGCCTATTCGATATCTCCTTAGTGGTAAAAAAATAAGAACTGCCCAAACTATGATACAACAACAACATCTGACCATGTAGCCGATACCGTGCAAATTTTATTTTAAAACGATGTACCCAAGAAGCCAAGCGCTATGTAGTTGATACAATTGTATACGCATTCAAATTAAAACTAATTTAACTTCAATCGGACACAGCCGTAGATAGGCTAATCTCAAATTCAGCATGCTATAAATTTTACCTTCGAGTTCGTATTATCCAATGTAATTCTAACAAATCTTTAATCTTCTCAACAAATTTGAACAGATGTGTCACACCTTGTGACGACTAAAGCAAGACGTAATATAAAGACAAAAACAAGTTTTGTAATATAATTCTCCCTTTCTTTGATATAATACTCAAGAAAAATCAAATCAGTCAGATATTGTACAGGGATTATTACTTTAATTCCAGGTGATATTTGCAATCAATGCAATGTGTGTCAGCTTCAAATGGTTGTACGTAGTTGGTAAGTGGGGGATCAATGGTTGTATCAATAGAAGAATATTGCAACATTTGTTGGAGTGGGGACTTCAAAGACGTCATGACGTGGGAGATGTTAGAAGGACGGAGGATAGTTGAATAGAGAGGACAGGAGGAGAGGATGGAGGAGAGGACAGAGGGGGAGAGGACAGAGGAGAAGAGGACAGAGGGGGAGAGGACAGAGGAGGAGAGGACAGAGGAGGAGAGGACAAAGGAGGAGAGGACAAAGGAGGAGAGGACAGAGGGGGAGAGGACAGAGGGGGAGAGGACAGAGGGGGAGAGGACAGAGGAGGAGAGAACAGAGGGGGAGAGGACAGAGGGGGAGAGGACAGAGGGGGAGAGGACAGAGGAGGAGAGGACAGAGGGGGAGAGGACAGAGGGGGAGAGGACAGAGGGGGAGAGGACAGAGGAGGAGAGGACAAAGGAGGAGAGGACAGAGGGGGAGAGGACAGAGGAGGAGAGGACAGAGGGGGAGAGGACAGAGGGGGAGAGGACAGAGGGGGAGAGGACAGAGGAGGAGAGGACAAAGGAGGAGAGGACAAAGGAGGAGAGGACAGAGGGGGAGAGGACAGAGGGGGAGAGGACAGGAGGAGAGGACAAAGGAGGAGAGGACAAAGGAGGAGAGGACAGAGGGGGAGAGGACAGAGGGGGAGAGGACAGAGGGGGAGAGGACAGAGGGGGAGAGGACAGAGGGGGAGAGGACAGAGGGGGAGAGGACAGAGGAGGAGAGGACAAAGGAGGAGAGGACAAAGGAGGAGAGGACAGAGGGGGAGAGGACAAAGGAGGAGAGGACAGAGGGGGAGAGGACAGAGGGGGAGAGGACAGAGGAGGAGAGGACAAAGGAGGAGAGGACAAAGGAGGAGAGGACAGAGGGGGAGAGGACAGAGGGGGAGAGGACAGGAGGAGAGGACAAAGGAGGAGAGGACAAAGGAGGAGAGGACAGAGGGGGAGAGGACAGAGGAGGAGAGGACAAAGGAGGAGAGGACAGAGGGGGAGAGGACAGAGGAGGAGAGGACAAAGGAGGAGAGGAGAAAGGACGAGAGGACAGAGGAGGAGAGGACAGAGGAGGAGAGGACAAAGGAGGAGAGGACAGAGGGGGAGAGGACAGAGGAGGAGAGGACAAAGGAGGAGAGGAGAAAGGACGAGAGGACAGAGGAGGAGAGGACAGAGGAGGAGAGGACAGAGGAGGAGAGGACAGAGGAGGAGAGGACAGAGGAGGAGAGGACAGAGGAGGAGAGGACAAAGGAGGAGAGGACAGAGGGGGAGAGGACAGAGGAGGAGAGGACAGAGGAGGAGAGGACAGAGGAGGAGAGGACAGAGGAGGAGAGGACAGGAGGAGAGGATGGAGGAGAGGACAGAGGAGGAGAGGACAGAGGAGGAGAGGATGGAGGAGAGGACAGAGGGGGAGAGGACAAAGGAGGAGAGGACAGAGGAGGAGAGGACAGAGGAGGAGAGGACAAAGGAGGAGAGTATAGAGGGGGAGAGGACAGAGGGGAGAGGACAGAGGAGGAGAGGATGGAGGAGAGGACAGAGGAGGAGAGGACAGAGGAGGAGAGGACAGGAGGAGAGGATGGAGGAGAGGACAGAGGAGGAGAGGACAGAGGGGAGAGGACAGAGGAGGAGAGGACAGAGGAGGAGAGGACAGAGGAGGAGAGGACAGAGGAGGAGAGGACAGAGGAGGAGAGGATGGAGGAGAGGACAGAGGAGGAGAGGACAGAGGAGGAGAGGACAGGAGGAGAGGATGGAGGAGAGGACAGAGGAGGAGAGGACAGAGGAGGAGAGGACAAAGGAGGAGAGGACAGAGGAGGAGAGGACAAAGGAGGAGAGGACAGAGGAGGAGAGGACAGAGGAGGAGAGGATGGAGGAGAGGACAGAGGAGGAGAGGACAAAGGAGGAGAGGACAGAGGAGGAGAGGATGGAGGAGAGGACAGAGGAGGAGAGGACAGAGGAGGAGAGGACAGGAGGAGAGGATGGAGGAGAGGACAGAGGAGGAGAGGACAAAGGAGGAGAGGACAGAGGAGGAGAGGACAGAGGAGGAGAGGATGGAGGAGAGGACAGAGGAGGAGAGGACAGAGGAGGAGAGGACAGGAGGAGAGGATGGAGGAGAGGACAGAGGAGGAGAGGACAGAGGAGGAGAGGACAGAGGAGGAGAGGATGGAGGAGAGGACAAAGGAGGAGAGGACAGAGGAGGAGAGGACAGAGGAGGAGAGGACAGAGGAGGAGAGGACAAAGGAGGAGAGGACAGAGGGGGAGAGGACAGAGGAGGAGAGGACAGAGGGGGAGAGGACAGAGGAGGAGAGGACAGAGGAGGAGAGGACAAAGGAGGAGAGGACAAAGGAGGAGAGGACAGATGAGGAAAGGTCAGAGCAGAGGACAGGAGGAGAGGACTGGGGGAGAGGACAGAGAAGAGGATAGAGGAGAGGACAGGAAGAGAGTAGCTTGGTGGTAAAATGAAGTAATCTCCTAAAGATCGAGGTGTACGAATGTTGGATTTTGATCTTAGGTAGTATGTTTCACCAATCTGGGCTTTTTTTTAACGAAAACTAAACATAGAGAGAAACCAACAGAGAAAAATTGCCAACACGAAATATATTGCATTTCTATTCAATCTATGGATATTCTCAAATACTGTACAGATATGTTATCGTATAAATCAATTAATAGTTTCATTGCAACACATTTATGTACATATATATATATATATATATATATATATATATATATATATATATATATATATATATAAGAGAGAGAGGCGTGGTGTGTGTCTGTGTTACAATATATACGCTATTCGATAACGCTTAAGAATTACGCCACTCACCACTTGTGCACACAGCGCATCAGAAAATGTAACTTAGTCTTATTCCAAGGATTCCATGATCGCTCCTCGTTTTTCCCTCCACTCGCCCTATCAGATCAGCAGGCCCCTATTGAACGTCTCGACTCAAGAGGTTGGGAAACATCTTAAAGATTGCTTCAGGGGGCTTGGCTGTCTTTCTCGCGTTGACTGGAACATTTTTTCCCCACATTGAAAAAAAAAAAAAAACTACAATTTTTTTTCGAGAGTTTATACATGCATGCCGGCTTCCGGTTGAACCCTAACAAGAAGCCGGAGAGAAATATTGGTTAGACAACCGATGTTGGGTTTTGACCTTGGTGTAAGTGACCTTGGTTTGGATGAAAGTTTTTGTTGTATTGATTTCTTTGAAGCATCCGCGCCAGGAGCGGTCAAGTTGATCACTGATGACGTCGGTGGACTGCTGGTGACATTTGGTTTGACATTTGAACGGCGCATGCGCGGAACATGTAGCACGATTGTCGAGAATGTGATTAACCCTTTATAAGAATTATTTGTCGTTTGCTATGTAAGTGTGTAATAAAAATGTGTTTTAACTTTTAACAATCTTTGTGTACGTTGAAATTCAATGTAAATGCAGTTCTTCATTTTTTTTTTGGGATGTGAAGTTATCTTTTCTTTTTTATAGCCTTTTAATGTAAGCCCTGTTACGGGGGGATACCTAAAAATCTATCTACCCTTCCCTAGGCTTATCTAACTAACTACTGTCCGGTCAGTGCAAGCCCGGCTAAACCCAGGCTGGTTAATAACCTAACCTTAGTCTAAATTAAAAACAAAAAACTTTAACAATAATATAAAATTTATTTCACAAAATAATAAATATGGAACCAAAAGTTATTATAAAAAACCAGAATCTAGATCTAGACAAAATAAAACACTCAAGACATACAAAACAAACAGAACTCAACGAAACAAAACATTACGTTTGACCATTTGATGGTGTTGCGCCGACTTATGATGTCTAGGATGGTCCAGGCCCTGACACACAGAAACCTCCCTTCATCCATTCTCGACATCCAAAAGTCCACACCAAACAAAACACTACGTAAAACCACTACGTACAATACCTTACGTACAACACATTACGTAGAAAACAATACGTACACAACAAACATTTTACATCAAACAAAACAATTCATATATAACAAAACACCCAGCCAAGTTGCACAAGCAACCTCACTGGAAGGGGGGGGGGGAAGAGAAAAAGAAAAGGAAAACATAAGAAAAATGCATGGTAATGGCAGATATATACATAAATATATACACAAGTTCAAAATGCTACCTACTACTACTATCTAGCTAAAGCCTCAAGTAAAACTAATCCTTACTATACAATTCTAAAAGCAATTCTCAAAAACAACTAACCACTGTCTAAAGAAGAACTAGCAACTTAAAAATAACGTGTAAACAAATTCATCGTAGAATCAATCTTTCCTACACAAGGAAGCCCGAAGCCATTGGTCTACATAAACAATATCCATATTGATAACATTAAAGTTAACACACTCCGCTAAGGCCCCAATGAAGGCAGACACAAAGCAAGCGATACTCAACATGACGTTGCACGAAACAGCACACACATTAATTTTAAACCACCTAAAACTCGAGGCAACTAAAATATGCTAATCTAATTACTGTCTAAAACAACTGACTATTGACTAAGCCAATCCTAGTCAATAACACATCATAAAACAATCAAGTAATTGCACACACGCATTCACACCAGTTTAGGAAACACTCCTAAACACACTGGCCTAAACCACGTGGTCCGAAACACACGCCACGGGTTTAGAAAACATCAAAAATACTTTTTAAATCTTTCAAAATAACACACCACGTGCATACCAGACATGCCGATGCTCACTATCTCGTTTTAGACGAAAATGAAAGAAAACGAGAAACATCGACAGTCGCATTCATACAAATCACATAAAGATAAAGTATAAAAAAACAAATACCTCCAACGCACAAAGCGCGACCACAGAAGCTGACCTGACCTACATTCTGGCGGTCAAAAAAAGGAAGAAATTATCCGAGTGGTCAGTTTATATACTGACCGCTTCGGACGGAAGGGGGACCCCGTGGCCTGTTCCCCATTGGACCACCATGCACTCCCAGATTCGCAACAAATAAAATTAATACAAAATAAATAATCCATTCACCCGCTCACATTAACATTATAGGTAAGTGGGTAGGGCAAAGTTAACTTGGAAAAGATCAGTTGTCAGTGAAGCAGAAACAGCCGGAATGTTATGGACGAAACTTGAAGGAATCTTGCAAAACCAAAAAGTATGTAGAAATGTGGTTGCGTTCCTATGGCTCTACATTTATTATGACGATCTTCACAGAAGGCAGACTAAGTAGAGTTCACCTGTTTCTTTGACCTTGGCATTTGAAGAGATAGTGTGGTCAGAACGATGCCCATCAGCCTCTACTTTCCCTAACGTAAATCAGGTACCCATTAGTGCTCAGTCGACTCATGGACTATCTTCTGACTTGCACCCGGATTCGAACTTGAGACTTGCGGGTAAGCAGTCTAACGCCGTTCCATAAGCAGCTGGTAAGTGACTGTATATATACGCAACGACACACAAGGCTCAGTGCACCAGAGAAAGACATGGATTAATTAACTGAAGGTGATTCTTTGACGCTTAGTTCACAGAGGATTGTGATCTAACTATCTCCCTTGATCAACTGGTTAAAAAAAAAAAAATTGTCTTTTTTTTTATTTTTAACTAACATTTTTTTTTTCGGATTTCGTTATATCCACGATTTGATTTTTATTAAACCTTTGTTCATTGTAAGAAAAATTTTTTTTTTTTTAAAACTTCCCCATAAGTGTTTAAGCGCTCGGCTTAGTAAAATAGACTTTTATGATACACTAACGAAATAATTAATTAACGGGAACAAAATTTACTTGACTTAACCTGACTACAAAATATCGGTCACCATTTGATCAAGGGGTTGTCGGTCGTTTTAGATCTGTCCCCTGACACAAGATTGCTAATGGAAATCCTTGACAATCCCCCCCCCCTTCCTGTTTTATCCCTGTCTACCTCCCCTGTTTCATGATTCCTTCCCTTGAATTTAATATATTAAACGCCACGGTCGTTCACCTTGGAGACCTTAGCAAGTCAACAGTGAATGCAGGGGAGATAAATCTAGTCAGACGCTTTCTTTTGTATTCGTCTAGTCAACATGATCAATGGTCAACCAGTTCGATTAAAACCGCGCCTACAACTTGTATTGATTTGATAGTCCATGAATCAAGGAATTACCACCGTCGAAGTTTCCATGCAACTACAGTATATTTTTTTTTAACAAAGTGACTACACGGAGAAAACTACATTCAGTCCAGTCTGCCCAAGTCCCTAGGCTAGGCGGAGTAAAATATTATTAGGTCTAACAATATGCCCAGGAATTCTTAAGCACTGTCCTTAGTCCCACTACGTGATGGTAAAGACTAGCGGTAGAATGTTAGACCGCTGACCCGATAGTCTATAGTTCGAATCCGGGTTCAAGTCAGTAGTACGTCCTTGAGTCCACCCAGCTCTGATGGGCACCTAACTCAAGTTAGGGAAAGTAAAGGCGGCTGGGTACAGTGCTGACCCCACTATCTCTTCATATGCCGAGGTCACAGAAACAGGCGAACTCTACTTAGTACAAACGCTGTAATGTTTTGATTAAAACAACATAAGTTTGAAACCCGACTCTCACTTAAGTCTGACCCTTAGAACGACATCTCGTCAGTCTATGGTCTGAACACACCTGTATACACCTGAACACAGCTGAACGCACGTGAATACACACGAACACACCTAAACACACATGAACTACTGCGGGAAATGAAATTAACCGAGATTACTTTTCTGGTGAGAAGATAAGTACTAATTAACCACTTCTCGATGCGATGACGAATGATAAGAGTTGTAGACTGTGGGACCTGACCAGATGTACAGGCAAGCCCTGGGTAGGACGATGTATATCAGCAGACTGTAATGAAAGATTTCTACACGGCTGGAAATCATCCACTCCATTGATATTGGACCAAGACTTGCTGGTGTCTTCGTGGTCTGAACCACCAACCACCAACCACCAACCACCAACGCTAGCTACAACCGTACATTACCATAAAACCTGACTAAACATTGGACAGCTATTAGACATTTGGCTTTAGAGTGAACTACAAGGTCGTTCGGGGTCGAATAGAAGGAGTGTCAGATTCATGTTGGGGTCAGCCAAAGACCCGAGTTCAAACCCCTAAGCAGATGAGGCTCGATTGTTTGGGAGAGCAAAACATCTAGGTGAGACAACTCCAAAATCAAACAACTGCTGCCTTGTAGTTTGTTATTGGTTAGACAAAGGCTATGGAAGCAAATAAAAAAATGAAAACGGGCTGAAATCGGAGTCAACGGCCACAATGGCGCATAACAGGCTAACTTAATTGGAGAAATATCACATCCAATAACACAAATGAGAATGAAGAAGAAGGTTCGTGTGTTTTTTTCACACAGTGTAAAAAAAAATAAACTACCAGTTTTAGATATCCTGATTATCA